TTTTCCGATTGAGAAAGAGGACACTTGAAGCCATACTCTTATGCTAAAATGAGTCTTATCCAATAGATCTATGATGGTGTACCTCTCGAAGAAAAAAATCGTAGCCTGTCATTCCCCACCGTGCTGTTTTCACCTAATATTAAAGAATTACTATTCACTCAAAAAACAGCAGAACAAGCTCAAAACCTCAGGATATGGTTAATGTTGTCTGCTAAACGTGATTACAAGATCGAAAAAATCGAAAAAGCATATTTTCGTTAACAGGCTTTCCGGAGAGAATAAACTTGCTTGAGTTTAAAGGTTATTCTGATGTTTTTTGAGTGAATAGTAATTCTTTAATATTAGGTGAAAACAGCCTGAAAATCCTAATTTCTGTAAAACCGGCTTTTCGGTAGATTTGTAAATTTCTTTCTAAAAAGAAATACTGCCATGAGACTCAGCATGGTCGATTACCCATAGTCCATCCGTGTTGAAGGCTACCAATAGTCACTGGAAACCAGTCCTGTGACTCGTCGGAAATCCGATACAACGCCCGAAGCGCGGAAAACCAAGGCCTCACTTTACTCCCGTTTTCAAGAGAGCACACCGGGCTATCAGGTTACGTAAAAACAGGAATACAGTCCTATTGGAAATTTACAGACGACCTAGCTTTTTAAAGATCTCTTAAAAAACCTGTTTCAGAAAACGCTTCTGAAAACAAGTTTGATTGTGAAAATGTCTCCAAGTCTCCTCTTTCAAAGGCCAAAAACTGGAGCTCTCTAGCTCTTTTCTATCAAAAGTTATTCCAGAAATAGCAAAGGCTGTACATTGACGGTGATATACGGCCTTCCTACGAATGTATCATCATAACTCGTCGCTTCCTTTCGCACAGTTTAGTGCAATGGAGAAATGCGTAGTTGGAGAAATACATAGTATGAAGGTCGGATGATCGATGTCTATTCTCGTGGAGAATACATCAAGGCTGCTGGAATGACAGGCTACGATTTTTTTCTTCGAGAGGTACACCATCATAGATCTATTGGATAAGACTCATTTTAGCATAAGAGTATGGCTTCAAGTGTCCTCTTTCTCAATCGGAAAATCGCAGCTCTGTAGCTCATTCCATGCCTGAGTTATTGAAAAAACACTCAACTCCATTCTTTTCTGATACGGATAGTAGCAAGTCTTACTACACGCTGTATTCTTAATTTCGTAAAAACCTTGAAAAACCGTTCTCCAAACAATAGTATCCGTTTTCTAAAAAATACGATTCGTTCTCTTTTAAATTCTGATGCGGTCCCGCCGATCTCTAGAGGAACTTCATATAGATATCCAAACAATATTATCATTATTTGGTGCAACTATTTTAGAGCGATGGTATACAGATGAAAATTCGCATCAGACTGAATGAAATTACGATCTGTTGGACAGATCCACAGACGACTCTCACGCAAAAAATAGCAAAATGTGAAGAGATAGTTGATGAAATTGGCAGATTCTACCAACAACTCGAGAGGTTAAAAGGTAAATTTATAGTGCAAAAAGAACGACGTAAAGTGTAAACGTTTCTTCCTTTTAGACCACGCGTAGGACGAAATGAAGATACAGATTAGTCGTGCAGAAGGAAAGGACTTTTATTATTTCCTTTTAAAGTTTATATTATTACTTTCTTTACCACGCTCAATTTTTTCTTATTTTAACTTTGTTCTTGTGTTAACGCATTGTATTACTACTTTTTCAGCATTTGTTTGTTTTTTTTTCTACACAATAAAGTTACTCTACGGAATACCATAAGGTACAACTTGAGCAATTTTCGACATGTTACAAAGACAAGCATAATAAGACATCAGCTTTATAAGATAAAGATTCATGAATATAGTGAACTTCACTGTCTGACCTTAGGCTGAGTATTCGTATCTTAGATTGGCAATTACTGAAGAAAAAGAAAAATTGTCGAACTGATAAGATTCCGATAACTGTTGTCTAATTTTGTTTGATTTCAATTGAATTGATGATACTGAAATATTTTAATATGGGGCATTACTGAGTTAATAAATAAAAACAAGAAAACTACTTTTAAAGATGCCTGTGTATTTTCTGTAAAACGAACTACTCACAATAACTTTGCGAATAACTTGTTAGTGGAAATAAAAAAGTTAGACTTTTCATGTTCTTTACCTTATTGAATGATTCTCTGCCAAATAGCCTTTTTTCGCTTCTATTTTTCTTTTCCCTTTCGACAATTTTCTTTTTCTTACGCACTAAAATTAACGATATGAACAGCTTGTCTGGAAAATTGTTATAATTTTTTATTGTTTGAATATCGTGCCGCTGTTCCTTCTATTGACAAAAATATATATCGGCTGAAATGAACTCCTCGCCTTTTCACGCTCTTAGTCAAAGAAATAATATAACAATATTCGAGATAGACTGTTCATATGGTTTACTTTAGCTGCTTAAGAAAAAGAAAAATTGTCGAAAACGAAAAGAAAAATAGAGAAGAAAAACGGCTATTTTGCAGAGAATCATTTAATAAGATAAATAACACGAAAAGTCTAACTTTTCAATTTTCACTAACAACTTGTTTGCAAAATTATTGTAAGTAGTTCTTTTTAAATGAGTAAACATTTCCCTTTACTCCCTTGAGCATTAACACTGCTAATAACAATCTTACTTCTTACGTCGTTTTATCAACATTTTTTTTCCAGCGGACGAAATGGTAGTAACATTCCTTGAACAAGTGTGTAATGAGTTGTTTTGGGATATTTTCGACTACCTTCAAGTGATGGATATATACGCGTCTTTCTACGGGTTGAATCTTCGAATCAATTTAATAATACACGGCATGCCTTCTCTACACCTTGATTATCGAACATTCCTATCATCAAAATTCTCTAATCACTTAACTACTATAGTCAATCGTGTCGTTTCATTAAATGTCATAGGTGCTGGTCATTCATTGACACATTTCTGTTTACTTCGATCACTTACAATCAGTAACATGCAACACAATGATTTAAAGTTTATAATGTTCGACATATATAAGTCGAATACATTGAAAAGACTGGCTATCTCATTGGATTATCCACGATCACAAGACATTGAAGATATATTTGCTATGATTATATGCAATAGACTTCCAGAAACGTTGAAAACATGTCACATTATAAAGTGAGTCTTTTTTGATTCGGCTGTTCTTTAATCTCATCTCAAACACTATTGATTTTATTAGGGAAATGAAACTTCGGTTTGCTAATACCAAATTTTTTTAGTTACAACGACAAAAAAAAGGGACACAGAACTCTTTTGACTTCAAAAAAAGAGAAAACACGAGGTTTGTTTTTTGAAGAAGTTTTTACTAAAAAAATCAATTTGATAAAAAAAGATTTTTGGTTTGTTCCGAATGGCAGCAAGTGCTTTGGGAGACAGACAATGTGCTCCCATATCTCATATCTCGATCAGAAGATATCGTCATAATTCAAACTGATTCATCTCTCAAAGATGTGAAGACAGATAAAATTGTTTTCTTAGACAAATCTAACGATGTATTATCGAATTTTGACCTGAGTTAAAGTTAACCTTGATTAGACCTAGTAACTTGGGGCAAAGTTGTTGTTTCTATTCAAGCTGTTAACATGTTTTTAGATTTCGGATACTCGGACATAAAAATCAGTCCTTTTTTCACTAATTTTAATCTGGTATTAAATCATTATATAATATATTAGTAATTGTTATCTCTTCTTCTCTTACTGTGGTGAAAAACACAACTCAGTTTATCGTCGGTAATGAAGCAATTTCAAAATCAACCAGAAGACGCAGTTCCAGGAGAAAATGAAAATCAAGAACGACACGCAGTTTCAGGAGCAAATGAAAATCAAAGATACGTAGTTCCAGGAGCAAATGAAAATCAAGGACACGTAGTTCCAGGAGAAAATCAAGGTCTAGCTTCTGCGCTAAGAAAATCTATTTCAATACCAATGTTTTTATTTTATGTATCTGAATATATTACACATACAGTTCGTTATTATAATTTTAATGAAAATTATGCAGAAAGTATAAAAACACAATTAGCATTTCGTAATGCTATTATAGTACAAATGGTTATTAATCTTTGTTGTCTGCTTTACATGGTAATATGGATGGTTTTTCTTGGTCGTCGTCCGCATATAAATCCATCATTTTTTTTATGTATTCTTTTATTACTTGGTTTATTTGGTTCTGAATTTCTTTATTCAATACTGATAGTGATCATCTTTTGTTACCAAATTCAGATCCTAGTAAACAATATAATAAGTATTATTTTTTACAGTTAGGTCTTGATTTATTTGCGTATAGTTTCAAAATACTATATTTCAGTTGTAATCGAAACTATACGGAGCCACTTGAAGAGCAGAATGGAGAAAATAGTCCACTTATCCCCTCTACTCCTACAGGAGGAGAACTAGAACTGAGACAAAATTCTTATTATGAAAATTTAGTTTGTGTTTGTCTCTCATTATTACTACATATTTTAAATATTATTATAATATTACTAATTAATTTAAAACATGAAACAACATTGTGTCAATTTAGTACAACATATATGATATCAATTATAGAAAATATATTAATATTTGAAGTATTGCATTTAGGTCTTGATTTAATTGTTAGAACTAAAGCACATCGAGCTATCATGCATATTCGAAATCATCATTACGATCCTTAAAAAGAATGGAATAGAGGGTATATGAAAAATCAATTAAACAATATTTTCTTCTTTGTGTTCAATTATTTTTCTTTTTATTCAAGAACTGTACAAAATAAATAAAGTAATAATAATAATGTTTTTTTTGCACAACCGTAAACTGTCTTAACTGTTCATCCTCACCACGATTCAGCAATAGTTTAACTTCCAAAATTTCTTTACTTGACTTCATAATGTATTTGACACGAAAAACAGCTGTCACCGAAGGATGATCTATTTGAATGCTACATAATTTGAATTATCGTTTCAATCAATTGATTGGAATGCAGTTCCACTTAACGATACTATCATTCATACAATTGAAATTTTATTTTACACAAAGGTAGGATATCACAAAAAAAGCATCAGAAGGATTTGTGGCATCCGGAGACACCTCATGATAACCTAAACTAAAACGTTTCTAAGAACAATCGCTACTATAACACATACATTGTGAGAGAAAACATAAGTGTATTACATTTTAAGAGAAAGAGTAGATCTAAACATAAAAATTATTGAACGCCTAGATGACCTCTTAACATACGTTTAAATACAGATAAAGAAGACTGACATGCTAAAACCGAAGGAAGTTCATTTCATTCCTTTGAACCACGTGGAACGAAAGAGCCGGATGCAGATTTTATCTTTAGACAAGGAATAACAACGCTATTATTATGACCTAATCGAGAACTTTGACGCGTAGTTAGCGGTGAGATCAAATCAAACGATGAGAGAGGACTTTTATTATAGAATATTTTATGAAAGTATAGAAGACGATAGTAGAGACGCACAGTGGGCAACTAAGCGGACATTAGACCAAAAAGTCGATTTTATCTATCTTGAAATACAAATAGTGCAAAATGTAGCTCTTGAAATTCTCTATCGAATGGTGTATAAACGTCTATTGTGAAACTGAAATGT